AAGGTGTAAATTCTAACTCACCCAGTGGTGCGGCAGAAGAAAGCCCTGGCAGTATGCGTCTGCACGAAGTGTTTCTGTTTGTGGTGATGGGAAATTTGGCAGTGCTTATGGGGGAATGATTGTACAACAGGATTAAAGCATTCATGTCACTAATATCATATGGAGTCCTGGTGTGGTGCTGTGGGATAATGCACTGGATCGCAAGGTCCATTTGAACCAGAAGGTTGGCAGTTCAAACACACCAGCCCTATACAGGATTGCTATGAGTCAGAACTGATTCAACAGCACTCAACAACAACAACACGAAATCATACACCTGAAAAATGTTGAATGTGAAAATGCTATTTTGTGTATATTTTTACAATAAAAGACAAAACTCTATGGATCACATGTTTTGTTTGGTTGCTACCCCACTCAACACCCCCATGTTTCCCAGCAAAGTCGGACATCAGTATACAAACACACACTCATACCACACACATAACGGAGCCTGCTGATTGGTTCAGGAGTGGCCGCGACTCCCAAGCAAGAGCAATCATTGTTGCTTATCCCCATGGCCACAACTGACTGGTCCAGGAAAGGAAGCGGGTCCGCATTGGCCAATCAGAGTACTTCCCTGAAAGTTTTGCATGGAGGCCCTAGATGAGCACCATCTCTGGGCATACTGAGTTGTATGGGCTCAGAGAGAAAGCTGGCCTGGGAGACAGTGGACTATGTGAGCAGAGAAGTAGAGATGAGGGACAGAGAGGGTTTGGGATGGTTGTCATGCCATGTGGTGCCCCCTTCACCTGAGTAACTTAAAGTGGGTTCTGTCACAGCCATTCAAAGACCAAACTCTTCTTGGCCCAGGGTTGCCTCACAGGGACTGACAACACCCACCATGGGGCCTGGTGGATGAGAATTGTGTGTGCATTTGTTCCCCACAAGGAGCACGCTTCACACACTATTTGCACCCCCCAGTGTCTGCACATCATTTAAAGGCCATCGCAAATGTCCCCTCATCATAGGCACCTTCCATGACACCCTGTGGGCAGCTCAGCTCCAGGTTCTTTCTGTTTGACCCCTAGTATAGCACGTGAAAGCCCTGTGACACGTTAAAGCTCACTGTTTGGAGGTGGGCACAGAAGTGACTTCTGGGAGGGGGAACAGCTCTGCCACAATAGGCTCCACGGGCTTTGCGGCGGCCCTTGGTGGTATAGGATTGGGTGCAGAAACAATTGTGACCATCCCTACACACTCCTGGCTCTCCAAAAGCTTGTCAGGTACTGGACGCCCGGGGTGGTCCTCTACCTGTTTTAAATACTGTTATGGACTGATTTTGTATTTCCCACTTGGCTAGACCCTGATGTCAGTATTATGTGATCATCCTCTATCTGGTCATGTGCTCTGATCTGATGTCCTCACCCTCTGTGCCCTCAGCAGTCCTCTTAAACTATGGAGAGAGAAAGTCTTCCACCAGAGTTGGTGCCCTGAATTTATATTTCTATCTTCCTAATCTGTGAGGTCCACCACTCAAGTGTCACTTTGTCATACTGTGGTGGCTTCCATGTTGCTGTGATGCAGGGCCACCTAGAGTGGACAAGTATTCGTCTTTCAGACGAAGACAGACTAGGAAGAAAGAGAGGCAGACCACTTCTCAAGGTCAGCTACCGAATAGCAGTGGGACGGAGTGTGATGTGGTGCCAGACGACGAGGCCTCAGGTGGGGAGGCATTCAAAATACAAGGAAGCGCTATGTCTACAAAGTACAGTGGACCATGATGACACGAGCGGAGTAAAGCCTTTGGGACCTACATTTACTGATGGGGCACAACTGAAAATGAGAAGAGACAGCTCCAAACATGCATTAATAATCAGAATGTGGAACATACAGAGTATGGATCTAGGAAAATTAGATATTGTGCAAAATGAAGTGGAATGCATGAAGATCAATAGCCTAGTTTTAGTGAGCTGAAATGGACTGGGAGTGACCATTTGAATCTGACAGTCATACGGTTTAGTATGCAAGGAATGACATCACATTCATCATCGAAAAGAACATTCCAACATCTATGTTGTTGTTAAGTGTTGTTGAGTCGGCTCCGACCCATAGTGACCCTGTATAGGGTTTCCAAGGAGCGACTGGTGAGCTTGAACCACCAAACTTGTGGTTCCAACCGACTTTGCAGTCCAGCACATTAACCCACAGTGTCCCCCCCGGGACTCTTTCAGCATCTATACGCCTACAATAAATTTATTACTACTATTACTCAAATGTATGCACCAACCAGGAAAGGAAATGATGAAGAAATTGACTGCAAGGTCAGTTTAAATTGCAAATTCTCACTCACCAGTCTCTCCTCAGAAACACTATACAGAATCGCTATGAGTAGATTCGACTCAACAGCACTTAACAACAACAACCAACATCTTCAGTCTGAAATTGATCAAACAGGCAATCAAGCTACATTGATCATTACCAGTGATTGGAATGAGAAAACTGGAAACAAAAGAGGAAAGATTAGTAGTTGGAAAATATGGTATTGGTGATAAGAAAAGATGCTTGAAATCCCATGCTAGAATTTTGCAAGACCAGTGACTCATTCACTGCAAATACCCTTTCCCAATCACATAACTAACAACTATACATGTGGACCTCACCAAATGGAACACACAGGAATCAGATCTAGTACATCAGTGGGAAAACACTGGAGAAGCTCAGTATCATCAGCCAAAACAAGGCCAGTAGCCAACTGTGGAAGAGACCATCAGTCTTTTGTTCTTTTCGATGATGAATGTGATGCTGTTCCTCATCATTTGTGATTCCACTTAACTGCTCAACTGGTGGCGATTCAGGCCCACTGTGTAATCTATCTGGCGAGGTTCACCAGTTGCCATTTATGTTGCTCAGGAAAGATATTTGCAATGAAGAAGTCGTTTGTCAAGCCAAATCCTATCATGAGATCTCCAGCATTTGTTTTCTCTCACCAAGGCCATATTTTCCAACTACTGATTTTCCCCCTTTTTATTTCCAACTTTTAAAAAGTCCAATTACCAGTAATTATCAATGCATATTGAGTGCATGTTTGATCAATGTCAGATTGAAGAAGTTGTCACAGTCGTCAATTTCTTCATCACTGACTTTAGTGGTCATTGGGTAAATGTGAATAAAATGGTATTAACTGGTCTTCCTTGTAGGTATATGGATATTATCTTATCACAGACATCATTGTACTTCAAAATAGATTTTGAATGTTCTTCTGGACAACAGAGGTGATGCCATTCCTTTTCAATGTATCATTCCTGACATACGGAACCATAGGTTTGGCCTATTCAAATGGCCAATACCAGCCCATTTCAATTTTTATGCACTTCATTTTTGATGACTTAATTTTACTAGATTCATAGTTCATACATTCCACATTCCAGTTACTAATGGGTGTTTCTTCTTTCCTTGTAATTGTGCCCCATTAGCAAATAAAGGTCCCCCAAAGTTTACGCCATTCACATAACTAAGGTTGACTCTGCTTTGAGGAGGTAGCTCGTCTCCAGCCTAATTTTGAGTGCCTTCCAACCTACGGGGTTCATCTTCCAATGTTCTAGCAGACAATGTTCAGCTGCTATTTATAAGATTTTCAGTAGCTAACCTTTCAGAAATTGTCTGCCTCTCATTTATCCTAGTCTGTCTTAGTCTGGAAGCTCAGCTGAAACGTGTCCACTATTGTTGTTGTTAAGTACCATGGAGTTGGACTCATAGTGACCCTACACAGGGTTTCCAAGGCTGTAAATCTTTACGGGAGCAGACTGCCTCATCGTTCTCCCGTGGAACCACTGGTAGTTTCGAACTGCCCAATTCACAACCACTACACTAAGTATTTGAAATACCAGTGGCATAGCTTCCAGCATCATAGCAACATAGGAGCCACCACCGTCTGACGACTGAGGAGTGGTGGAGCAGAGCATTGGACCAGTTGAATTTACTGATGGGGTCCACTCAGCTGGCGTCTATGAAGAAAAACGTGGCATCAGGATTGGAGGAAGACTCATTAACAACCTGCGATATGCAGACGATACAACCTTGTTTGCTGAAAGTGAACGAGGACTTGAAACATTTACTGATGAAGATCAAAGAGCACAGTCTTCAGTATGGATTGCATCTCAATGTAAAGAAAACAAAAATCCTCACCACTGGACCAATAAACAACATTCTTATCAATGGAGAAAAGATTGAAGTTGTCAAGGACTCATTCTTCTTGGATCAACTATCAACACTCATGGAAGCAGCAGTCAAGAAATCAAACAACGTATTGCATTAGGTAAATCTGCTGCACAGGACCTTTTTAAAGTGTTGAAGAGCAAAGATGTCAGCAGTGTTTCCTTGTGTTGTGCACAGGGTCGCTATGAGTCGGTACCGACTCCATGGCACCTAACAACAACTCAGCTTGTGTAAGAAATCCTAACCGTTTGCGGGGCTCCTTGTTGGGAACTTGGACATCCCGTGACTTAGGAGGCGCGAATTTCTCAGTTGCAATTCCCGTCCTGACCCCTCATCAAGTCCCAAAGGACCCTCCCTGACAAAGGCCCTGGGGTGAGGCTCAGATTTTTTATAAACGCTCTAAATTCTTCGGTCATGGCTAATTTGGCTGCCACCAAAATTGGGTCCCACGGTTTTTCATGGACCCCGGGCCGTGTACCCGCCAGAAGAGGTAACGCCCGTCTTCCTGGAGGTCTCGGAAACGTACATAAAAGACACCACTCAGAACTTCACAGCTCCGAATGTATGCTTATCCGTGCCAACTCTCTGAGACCCTAAAGTGGGCAACTTTATCAGTCAGTGAATTCGAACCTGGCGCCAGAAGCCCTAGGACCCGCCCCGGAAGTTCAATGCCCCATCCCTTCCGACAGCGCGTTCGGCGGCGCCTGGCCCAGCGCGGCTGCCGTAGCGAAATGACCCGAACTACGGTGGCCGCTGGGGGTGCGACCGCAGTGATTCGGGGCTCGGCCGACACGGGCGGCGGGCAGGGCGCCGCCATGGGCAACCTGTTCAGCCGCAAGAAGCAGAGCCGGGTCACCGAGCAGGACAAGGCCATCCTGGTAAGCACGCGGCCCGGGTTGGACCTGCAACCCCGCCGCCCGGTGCGGCCGCCGTGCCGACCGGTGGCAGTGTGTGGGGGGGTGGTATCCGCGGGGGAAACTGAGGCCAGGGAGCCGGGAGCCCACACCTGCGGGCGGGGAGACTGAGGCGCAAGGCCACTCGGGGCTCCCCTGATGTCCCTGCCCTCCGAAGGCTCCAGCACCCCAGGCTGACCGCACCTTTCGCTTTCAATTTCCGTGTGCCGACGGCCGATTCCAGTCTGCAGACCCCGGCTGGCCGGTTCCTGGACCCGCCCCTGGGGGGACTGGCGTCTCGCGGTGCCTATGTCCCGAACCCCTTGTTGGGTGACACACCGAGTGGATTCAGACTCGGAGCCATCCCATTTGACAGGAGAACTGCCCCATAGAGGTGTCTTAATGGGCGCAGGTTGCCAGATCTTTATAACGCAGAGCGGCTGTTTGGGTTCCCACCACCAACCTTTGATCAGCACACCTGTTGCGCCAATAGGATTCCTTTGTCCAAACTTAGCCCAGTTCCTGCGGCTCAGCTACCGTGTAGGACAGTAGAAATGCCTCTTAGGGGTTTCCAGGCCAGGTATCTTTACTGAAGCTGATTTGTCTCATCTTTTCCTCAAGAAGTGGCTGGTGACTTCCAACTACTCTCCTTAGTCCAAAGCCATTATTTCCACTCGATCTGGATGGCTTATTCACTGCGGGAGCACAGCGTGGGGATTCACGTGTGACTTTGGTCTCATTCTTTTGACATCAGACTGCCCATAGACGAGACTTGTAGTTTCCACACTTGGAACTGTGATCAACTTGGGCACCACCAGAGCGGGTCCTGGACCCCCACTTCCCACACTCAGCCACGGGAGAAGCCATGTCTCACCCCTGCCTTCTAGAAGGCTGCGTGGATGGGGTGGCAGGCAGCGGCACGGTCCCATCATCATCGCCACTCACCATGTGCCTCCGCCCCTTCTCTTAGCTTGAGTCCCTAAGGTGCACATTGCCCAGGGACCAGAGGAGCTTGTTTGGAGGGCTCCAGATGAGTCACATGGGAGGGTTTGCAGTACCTGGTAAAGGGGGACCCAAGCAGTGTTTGATGATGTTCCTGTTGCTGTCTGTACCCCCACACCACCCCCAGTCCCACACAGGTAGCATTTGGGTGGTGGCATGGTGTTGCCACTGTGGCCTTCGTGTGTGGTACTTTGTTGCTGCAGCTGGCTTTGGGGCAGGCTTCTCCCCCTCAACACCAGGGGCTGGATGATTCTTAATGAGGAGCCATCCTCCCCACTAGATGTCAGCAGCACACACACAACCCCTCCAGTGTAGCAAACCAAAGTGTCTCCAGTCCAGGAGCAATGGCATCCTTTGTCATGCATGAGACCAAAGAACTGATGGAGCCCAACTTCCCATTAGTGAACATTGTGATGAAATATATTCCATAGATGGCACTCTGCTGATCAAAAGGGGGAGAATGCAGCCCAGGATTTCAATTCTCATGGAATCTAGACTTTCTGGAGTCACGGAGACTGAATTCATCCTTGAAACTATTGCCAAGATCCCCTTTAATCCTTCAACCATAACATCTCCCGAAGTCTTCTTAAACCAAACAGCCTCACTAGTCAAGAATGTCTGCTGTGAGCCTTGTTCTCTGTAAGCTCTAGCTCTGGAATCAAAGTGGCAGGAGTGACTGGGTCCAGCCAGGACGTTTAGGAGACTGAGTTCCTCCAGCACTACGCTGCCATCAGTGTTGCTGAACTGTGCATGGAGAAATTGTTGAATTGGGATATGTTTTGCTGTGTATGTTCTCCACAACTACAAATAAAATTTAAAGAAAAAACAAGTGTCTCTAGCCAATGCCCAGTGTCCTGGGGACACACTTGTCTCGCCAAGAACTGCTGAAGCCAGTCTGAATGTTGGCTCTCCTTGGGGGAGGGACCCTTTCGCCACCACAAGTGGGTGGGTGTCAGTGGTCTGGGTCAAAAAACTTCTTCCCCACCCCCACAGCAACTGAAGCAGCAACGTGACAAGCTGCGACAGTACCAGAAGAGGGTCATCCAGCAGCTGGAGCGGGAGCGGGCGGTGGCCAGACAGCTCCTGCGGGACGGCAAGAAGGAGTGAGTGGGCTCACCGAGGGGGGCTTCGGTGTGAGGGGTGAGGGGACGGACCGGGGCAGGAAGCTGACCCCCCACATCTCCCCTGTAGGCGGGCCAGGCTGCTGCTCAAGAAGAAGCGCTACCGGGAGCAGCTCCTGGACAAGATGGAGAACCAGATTAGCAGCCTGGAGACCATGGTAGGCAGGGACGGGCGGGCGGACGGGCGCCTTGGGCAGCTTGCCTCTGAGCTCCGTGGCTCTGAGCGTCTGCAAATACTGGATGAGGGGCTTCGGTGGGACTGTGGCCAGCAGGGCCGAGAGCCGTGGCTTGTGCAGGTTTGAGGGTCACCCAGGTGGCTGAAGCGCTAAGGCTCTTTCCTGAGCGTCCAACAAGCCCTAGGCCTGACTTGGAGTCTCCAATAGTGATGAGGGCAGCAGGGGAGCCCCGGGCCGCGGTCACGGACTTGCTCGGGGTCCCCTGCAGGTACACAGCCTCGAGTTCACCCAGATCGAGATGAAGGTGATGGAGGGGCTGCAGTTCGGGAACGAGTGTCTGCGCAAAATGCACCAGGTTTGTCCCGTGGAGGCGAGGAACCAGGGGGTGGAGCTTGGGGCGGGGCTGAGGGGCGATGCCTTGTGTGGGTTGGGTTGGTGGGTGGGGCCGAGGGGCGGGGCAGAGGCGGGGCCGGCGCCCTGAGCAACCTGACTCTGCTCGCTGCCCAGGTGATGTCAGTAGAGGAGGTGGAGAGGATTCTGGACGAGACGCAGGAGGCGGTGGAGTACCAACGGGTAGGTGTGGCTGCAGGAGGGGCGGGAGGCCTTCTGCCTGGTGTCCACACCCTGCTGGCAGCTGCTGCCCTCAAAGGAGGGGGACCCTGAGCCAGTGTCTCTGCTTTGGAGGGCCCTTCCTGGGGGTGGGGGCCGCCCTCCCCGCCAGGCCCCCGCTCCTAAGTGCAGCCCCTTCTTTATAGCAAATAGACGAGATGCTGGCCGGCAGTCTCACTCAGGAGGACGAAGACGCCATCTTGGCAGAGCTGGACGCCATCACTCAGGTAGGGCCCCTCCAGAGGATGGAGGTTCCAAGGCCTGCTGTACCCACGCCTCTGCTCACATGGATCACACACGTGCTTCACTGTGAACATGTGCCCGCCTGAGACCCCCCTCCAGTCCACCTGCTGACAGGAGGGACCAGGCAGGAATGGTTTCCGGGGTCCTGAAGAGAAATAGCCAGGGTTTCTCTCTGCCCTCAGCCTGCCCACCGGGGTCTCCCCCAACAGGCTCTGAGCCCTGTGAGCAAGGCCACATGGCAGGAACTGGTGCCATGTGTTAGGGTGGGCAGCCCACCACGGCAGCCCTCCCTTCTCCCATATAGACCTGACCCCAGGAGGGCTACCTGGCAGTGGAGACCCCAGCCAGGGCTGCATGTCACCAACCTTACCTGGGGCCTGTGGAGATCCCTGTCCCGCTGAGCTGAGATCAGAACTGTCCCTTTAGAGAGAAACGCAGGCTACTCTTGGGTGGTCTGCCAGCTCCCCTCAGCCTCTGCCTTTGGTTGTCACAGGAAGAGATCGAGCTGCCAGATGTCCCAGCAGAGCCCCTTCCTGACCAGCACCCAGGTATGCCCTCACCTCACCTTCTGAGGTCCACCTTCCTGCTCAGGAGCATGCAGAGGGGGCTCCTCTAGGGACCCCGTAGGAGGTGGTCCAGCCTCTCTCAGGCTCCAGGCCAGAACGTTGTCCTCTGTAAGTGTGACAGCCCCAGATGACAGTTCCCTTGTGGTGTTGTATAGCACACTTTCTGGAACATTCCTAGGAGCCGGACTTCCCTTTTATAACCATCCATTTTTCTTTTTGTCCCTTCCTTGCTTTTCTGGATTTTTCCTCTGCATTGGATCCTGGGGGAGAGTCACTGGTGGTCAAGGGTCTGGGCTGCATGTCCCCACTCCCACGACCCCAGTGGTTTCCCTTTGTGGAGCTCACCTCTGTCCACTGAACGTGCTGTTCTCAGAGCACCTGACCCCGGCCCTGGCTCTTGGGCCTGCCCCCTCTGCCCTGGGTCTCCTGTGTACAACAGGCCAGTTAGACCATTTACACTCAGCTGCTAACCAAAGGTTGGTGGTTCAAACCTACCAAGCAACTCCGCGGACTCACGCGGGACCACCATGACTTGAAATCGACCCGATGGCGATGTGTTTTCTGGTTTGTATGGCGGATCTCTCTCCTTCCGTCCTCCACAGAAAAAGTCCCCGTCAAGGCTAAGCCCAGGCAAGCGGAACTCGTGGCAGCATCGTAACCCAGCCTTCGTCAGACCTGGGGGCGTCCCCAGGGTGTGTGGCCAGTCCCAAGCTGGGCTCTCGCGGCACCATCCTGCTCTCATCTCCGGCTGTGGCTTGGGTGCTGCTCACATGCCCGTCGGTCGTGCAGCCTTCTCCTCTGCTGCTCTTTGAGGGGGCCTGTCGAGAAGATGCCTGAGGCCTTGTCACCAAGTGGAGAGTCCCCAAGCAGACAGGGAAGACTCTCCACGTACCTGTCTGGGCGGCCCACACGGACCTCTCTCCTTTGGGGTACTGGACTAGGAGGCACTCTCTGCTGGCCCAACCACTCACTGATGGTGTCAAGGCTGAGAAAGGACATCACTGGGTCCACAGGAATGGGGGCGCTGCTCTGGCAGGTGTGACCTTGGAAGTGTCTAGGCTGGACTCCCCCAGACCCGCCACCCTGAGAGCCAGACCAGCAGGGACAAAGGCCATGATGTGACTTGTTCATGGGCCATCCACTAGGAGACAATCTCGCTGAGACGCCATTTGCCAGAAGTGAGCGGGGCTCAGGCCATTTTCCGGGCCCCACTCAGAGCCCGGCATTAAAGCTGACCCCTACGTGGCCTGCTGCCTCCATGGACTCCTCTGGGGCTGGCGGGAGGCTCACGGGCCCCTTGGTGTTGCCTTCAGCACTCAAGTGCTTTCCCGTAGAGTTCAGGCTTCCGCCAGCATAACAGCTGGTGTGGGATGTGCATGCCCATTGGGGGGCACCTCATGTGCGGGGGCCCAGGAGGGAAGCCCAGCTCCATCCATGCGTTCCTGTTCTGGGTAGCTCCCCTCAGTGAGGGGCAGGGGTCCTGCTGGAGCCACTGTTGGCCGGGCAGGTTTCTCAGAAGCTGGGAGCTTCCTGCCGCCCGCCCGCCTTGGAAAGATCCTGTGCTCCTGCAGTGCACACATCGGCCACAATGGGGTGTTCCATCAAGCCGCCTGTGAGGTTTGTGCCAGGAACCAGCATGCTGGTGCTTGAGCTCCCTGCCGGCCGGCCGGCCCCACTGCAGTAGTGACCCCCAAGGAGCAGGGCCCAGGGACGCGGTGGGGCCGAGCCATCCTCACCATCCTCGTAGGACCTGCCGAGACTTCACCGCCAGCACTAGCTTGCTCCACCGCGCCCTGGCTTCCAGACCGCTGGTGGGGAAGGCTCCTGGGTGCGGGGTGGGGCAGGTGGCATGCACGCCTCTCCCACCCCACCTGCAGTGAGTCAGAAGGAAGTAACAGAAAATATGTGCTTGGTCTCGGGCCTGGGCAGGGCAGGCCTCTTGCCCAGAAGAAAGCAAACGCATCGAATAAACGACCGCTATGATTCACAGTGAGGGCCCGTCTCAGCCCCATGAAGAAGGCAGTGGTCCTGGGAATCTAGCTCGGTTCTCACATCAGCATCCAGTTGATCAGCAGCATTTACATCTTCTTAAATCTTTTCAGTCAGTTTGTGTATTTTAACTTTTTGTGAATTGAGTAAAGGTTTACAGACAAGTCCAATTTTACATTCAAAAAATTCCTCCACTTTGGTTTCCATGTTTACAACCCCCACCATGCAACAACAGTTCTCCCGCTTCCTCCCCGTGGTTCCTACTTCCATTCCATCCACCTTCCCATCCCTTCTCAACTTTGTGCTTAGGAAAATGTTGCCCTGTTTTGAATGATTGGCCATTCCATGGTGAGCTTACCTTGCTAGTGTTACTGTCATCGTCCCCCCCTTCCCATATACCAATTATATAGCTCTGCTGAAGAATGGGCCCCAAGGGTGAGTTCCTTTCCAGACCTGAAGGGGGGGTTGAGGGCCACAGTCTCAGGTTCCTCCAGTCTCCTTACCTGTAAACCTGGTCTTTTTCTTTGTTTATATCATAATTTTGAGTTCTGTTCCATAGTTTCTCCCACTCTGGGACCCTCTACTGGGATCCCCTTCAGAGCACTTGATAGTGGTACTTGGGCACCATCTCGTTTTTCTGGTCTCAGATTCTTGGAGATGGATGTTTACATGTTCCATTGGACTAATTGATTCCAAGCCTCTTCAGTTCTAAGCGCTATTCTTTCTTCCACACGTGGAAAGACGAATAGTCATAAGAGCTTTCAAATAGGTGCTGCTCACCCAAATAGGATGTAGACTATTGTGGGCTGGTCCTGAGCCCCCAGGGCCCAGCAATTCACTGTCTTAAGCTGTTTGGTGAGCTCTAGAAGTTTCCATCATTCTGCCTGCTGTATGCTTTACCACGTTCATAGCTGTGTTTGCAGAACACATGTACACATACCATCTTTAAACTCAAATTTGTGGGGTATCTAAATATATACATCCCACTCTTCCTCCCTTTCATCCTATGTCTCAATCCATATGTTTATGTACAGAACGTGTTCTGAGGTTGTGTACATGTCACTATGTCTCCCCCCTTTAGCCCATGCATGCCTCCCTGTGTCTTCACCTGTCTTCATGATATTTCTGACACCCTCCCTCTTGTATGTTGCCCTCCCGAGCTAGCATGTCGACCCTCGCTAGTCAATGAATTATAAAACCTCTGCTAACCATCAAAGAATGAAAACCTTGCATTTTTACCAACCTTAACGTCTCATACAATCCTTGTCTTTTTGAGACTGACTAATTTCACGCAGTATAACGTCTTTCGGGTTCATCCATGTGTGAGCTGTTTCACAGATTCATTGTGACTCTTCAACACTGCATAGTATTCCATTGTTCATGTAATCCAGCTTTCAGGAAGTTTTGTTTAGTTTCAATGTACAGTTTTGTGCATTATTATTGAAGATACACTGGCAAAATAACACTAATTCAAGAATGACATTGATACATTATTTGAGTTGTATAGCCAATCTCCCCATTTCCCGACGTGTCCCTTCCCTGTTGACGGAGTCACTTCCCCCTAACATCCGAGCTGCTGCTAGCAGTATGGTGCCGTGAAATACTGTCGTTAAACACAGTGCTCGGTGCAGACATTCTTTGAGCAAGACTTGTCTGATTGAATGGTGCTTTCAGGGTTAAAGGTTATCACAAACAGCAGCAGTTTCAGGTCCATCCAGTCTCAATGGCTCTGAAATGTTTAGATTTTCCTGATAACTGAAGTTCTGCATTTTCCCCCCTTTTGATCAGGAATGTCCCAAAGACTCTTTGATCAAAATGTAATGGTAACCAGGCACCACTACAATTCTGGCCACATGGATACAGTTAGTCAAATATTCCATTTCCACCTCCTCTTCTGACTCTCCTTCCTTGGTTACTCCAGGCAACCAGAATAGCTGTGCCCTAGGATGACCTCTTACAAGCTTTTAACAACCCCAGACAGTGCAGTTGTGTGAGTTTACACACAAGTAGTAGGTGTTCACAGCCACCACATTCAGGACACGCACGCCCCAAAGACCCTCCTGCGGCCTTGTGTAGTCAGCCCAGCCCAGCCCAGCCCAGACGTACCTCCCACCCAATTGCCGTGCTGACTCCTGTCACCCGGCATGTTGGCACTGTATCAGAAGGCAGCCCCTTTCCCAAGATTTGCAGTTTAAGGTGTGGAGTGGCTGCAGGTGGTGACATTCACCCACTGGGGGGCATGGGTGGAAGAATCATTAACAGCTGTCTAGGATCCAGGAACGTGGTTCAAACTCAACAGCTGCTTCTTGGAAAGCCTATACAGTGTCTCTGTGAGTCGGAACCGACTCCAAGACATTTAACAACACCAAGGGACATGGGGTGAGGTTGTTGAGTCCTTGCGAGGATACTTTGTTTTAGAAGAAACTGCCAGTTGTTTCCCCAGGGGTTGTGTCATTTTAGCTTCCCGTCAGGTATGTGAGGGACCCAGGCAGCCGGCACCCTAGCTGGCACTTTTTAAAAATACTAAGGGTGTACAGGCTTCTGGTAGCATAGTGGTTACGAATAGGGCTGTGAACCTTAAGGTCAGCAGTTCGAAACTACCAGCTGCTCCGAGGGAGAAAGATGAGGCTTTCTACTCCCGTAGAGATTTACACCCTTGGAAACCCTGTACAGGGTCGCTATGGGTCAGAACCGACTCGACGGCACTTAACAACAACAACAGGCTTCAGGGTCTTCATTTGCAGTTTCCCCCAAAGCTAAAGATTCTGGGCATCTTTCATGTGCTGGTGGGTTTTTAAACTAGGAAGCCATCTTAGCGTCCAAGGAAGCAAGAGCGTCCATCAAGCTAGCTTAGTAAATACGCACGGCGCCAAGTCAGAACGACCAGGGCATGAGATGTTCGGGACCAGGGTCCTGTCCACCCTCTAACCTCACCCCAGACTACATTCGTCTCGCAGTACTCTCAACATCAACTCCCTGCTGCACCCCAACTGTACCCCCAGCCGATCCAACTTGGGTGGGAGCTGCGGTCTCCAGGGAGACCCCGCCCGCGAGAACAACCTGGCGACAGCGACGTCAGGCTGCGGGTGGGGCGTTGTCATAGCAACGTTGCAGGCTCGCGCTGGTTCTGGCTCCCCCTTTCCCAGGAAAGACAGCCTGTGGTCGACCGCACCCTAAACCCCGGGGCGGGAGCAGGGGAGGGGAGAAGGAGACCTCTCTGTTGGCACAGGTGCACACACGCCAACAACATATGTGTACATGGACACTGAGGGGCCTCCCCGGAGGTCAGGCGGTACACACCTGGAATTTGTTGTCCAGAGACAGCTGTGTGACACTCGCAAGACGGTCCACACTTTTCTTGCCTGTCCCTCCTTCAATTCTGTGCACCCTCCCCAGTGTTCCTCAGTAACTCACAGATGACCCACCCATTCCTGGGATTCAGCCTGCTTGCGATGTGGTCTTGTGCTGGGGGCCTCTCAGGGACCCCTCAAGGCCTGGTCTGTGTGTGCAGGAGTTAGAGAAATGTTAGAGAGCGGATCATGTTGTTTGCCCCAGCAATACCTGAGAACAGAGCACGCTGGTCTGAGAAGGTCCAACTCCAAGTTCTGAACAAAGGAGTGATGGTTCGGAACACAAGCCCAAGAGAAGGATCCAAAGGGTACCCTGAAGTCATACTA